CTTTCCGACGGCCAGTCACTGAGACTGTCCTTCTCATCTCAAAAGAAGACTGATCCAAAAACTTCAGTGCGTGTCCAGTTTGTAAACTTTGCGTTATGGTGTCATAGTGGTATCTCGTGATACCAGACGGGGAGTGTGGTGTTACTGCAATCTAGTTGAGTTTGGACTTGCTAGGGTTAGCCGCATCGCGTTGGCATCAGTCTGTGCCGTGTGTTTTTCTTCCTTTTTTGTTTTGGACTCGTTCGATCTGGGATCACCATGTAACGCGCTACTACGAAGCACCGTCTTTTACGGTGGTTGTTATGGATATAAAAGTACAGTTTTTCTATGACATCCAGTCGTTCGCTACCTGAGGAGTGGCCGCTCGGAGGCGCGCCATGGAATCAGAATATGACAAGTTTACTGTTTTGGTTTCCGTACACCAACCTTTTCTAACTTCGAGACTGGAAACGTCTTTTATGATGACTAGTTTCATCTAATCACGTAGATAATCTAAAAAAGTGATATTGTCTCAGTCTGTTTTATTTAAAGAAATTAAGCGCTCAAGAAATATTTTGATAGACTAGTCTAGGCTGACTAGAAAATTTCTTTAACTAAAGTACTCATTTACAGCATTTCAAGATATTGGCCTTATGAAATAAACTTCTTGTAATATGGACATTTGCTTACGACGTTCTCAAGTTATGAGAATGGTAAGATAAGTGAATGCCAGACTTGAAATAAAGTCTGCTGTTCATCTTTCGTAAAATTTGCCGAATGAAATTGAAGAGCGCAAAAGAAATGATCTCCGATAAGTTTGGCTGAAGTCGAACGCCAGGCGCCACCCGCTGGTACTGTGTAGAAAGCTGTTCACTGATTTGAAACGGCGCTTTGCACATTTTGACGTCGCCATCTACTGAAAGTAACTCCCTATTCGAAGTCGAACACCGGCTGCACACGGGTGATTTTCATGCAGGATTCTTTTCGGCGTCACATTTTGTGAATCATAGGCACTATCAAGCTGTCTGTGGCAGTTTCTTACGCGGGGAGTTGGAATATTTGTGTTGAAATAAATTAATTGAAACTACATGGTTATATTAAAAAAATGACTCAAGCAACTGAAAGACTATGGACAGGGGACCAAGCACGATATACAGTTCCGCAAAATTCATAAATAAACCGATAAAGCGAATGCTTATATAAAACACGCGATTAAGAACGTAAAACAGATATAGGTGTGATATTGCGAACAAACAAGGTGCTTAATGTTAAGGTACCATTATTTCTAGCATAAAAATAATTCAAACAAAAGGTTTGTTCCCGAGTCTTGTCCACAAGTTCCCTAGTGTAATCAAAAGAAACTGTTTTCGATCTGTTGTAACTACAAAATACCATGCTTTCAGGAAAAACACGTGGCTAATTATGCTGAGTCTTTTTGTTTCGTTCCTTGACACCAATGCGCACTCATATATATAATAACATTAGGCTTCCTGCTGCAAATGTTCCGCCCTTATTAGTAACAAAAACCTCAGTTCTCATAAGTTATTGGTATTTGAACCCTCGAGGCTCTCTTCAACTTATATATGTATTCAATGTGCGCAAGTGCTAACGCTGATACCTGTTTCTATAAAACCTCTTCACACGTATTTCGCACGCCGACGGTAAAAAAATATTCAAAACGTGTTACAAAATCAACTACAGAAGTTGCGCGCATAATGATGTAATGCAATTGCGTGGTAAGTATGAGTATCGGACGACACTTTACGGAGTAAGGCAAGAGACGCGGTCAAACGCGACGAAAAACACGATTTCAACGCATCCGCCAAGGCGCGGACGGGAGAGCGGAGCAACAAGTTGAAGCAACCTAATGGCGGCCGCATCACGTGATTCCAAGATGGCAGCGCCCATGCGGCGGAGGGTGAAAAGGTCTTAGGTGAGGGACCCTAGAGTAATGGTTGCCTGCCTGTCAGTTAAGAAAGCCTTGATGTACCCGTACATGCGGGGGCCTGGGTTAATGGCGGCTAGGTTAGTAAGGATTGCCTCGAGCGAGACATTGTCAAAAGCCTTGGTGAGGTCGAGGCCTAGGATGGCTCGGGTGTTGCGAGAGGTAGTGGGTTGTAGGATTTGATGCTTAAGCTGTAGCATCACATCCTGGACTGAGAGGCCGGCTCGAAAGCCCACCACCTGCGGAGGGAGGAGATGGTTGTCCTCCACGAACGCCATGAGGCGATTTAGGGTGACGTGCTCCATCACCTTCCCGGCGCAAGACGTGAGCGAGATCGGCCGAAGGTTTTCTAAGGCGAGGGTCTTACCCGGCTTTGGGATAAAGATAATTTTTGCGGTTTTCCAGGCAGGGGGAAGATTGCCTGTTTCCCAGCATTCATTCATGTATTTTGTGAGAGCAATTCTATGGATGGGTCATCCAGGTTGCGAAGGGCCTTGTTAGTGATTTGGTCGGGGCCGGGCGTTGAGTTGGTATGGAGCTGAAGCAGACTCAGCAGAGCCGCACGAACCTCGGGGACCGTAATGTCCAAATCCAGGAGGGGGTTAGTGGACCCTGCATACGGGGGCAAGGAAGTAGTCCGGGGGATGCCCATGTATCACGATTGGAGTTCCAGGAGGAGTTCGTCCTCAGTCCCCGGCCATTGGTGCAGGAAAGTATTAAGTCGATGCTGCTGCTCGTGCTTGCTTGAGGTTGGATCAAGGAGGTGACGAAGCAGAAGCCATGTGCGCTTAAGCCCCAATTGCCCTTGCAACTTGTCGCATATCTGGCCCCATTGTTGGGTTAGTAACTTCAGAGAATATTGTTAAATTTCTCTATCTAAGTAGGCTATTTTGCGGCGTAACGTGCGGTTGTGCCGCTGGGTTTTCCATTGCTTATGTAGGCTGAACCTCGCCTCCCAGAGACGAAGGAGGCGAGCGTCTATTGCCTCTAAGTGGACTTCGTCTGGGATGTCCGTGGTGTTCAGTTGAATGTCTGTCAGGAGAGTGAAGGTCCACTCTTCTAGGTTGGTAATGGTTTCGGTTGCAGATGCCTCTCTACTGGCCCTAAAGTCGTCTCATTTAGTAATGTGGAGGCGGTTGCGACGGGATTTCCCAAGGCACCCCCCTACCGTGGTTTCTAGTATGTAGTGGTCACTACCTAGCGGTTCTCCGAGATTTCGCCAGTTTAAAGGGGCACTGACACCCCAAAGGTCGTATTTATTTTTATTGTCTAAAACGATGCAAGTTGCAGCCATAGACACGCAAAAAAAACCGCAGCGCGAAAAAAAATTTTCCTGCGCGCACGCGCGCCTTTTTATTTTTGGCGTTTGATTTTCCCGCCTCTCGCCTCCTCGCTTCTTTTGATCGGTGACGTCAAAAATCAGGAAATTTAGAAGCTTTGTAGGCGGCATCTTTATAACATTTAATGACGGCAATCCTAAAACATGTTTTTTAACGCAATTGCGAACGCACTACGGCCCTTCTTTTTGAAATACCAAAAATCGGGAGTTCGTTGTGGTGCCGTCTCCTGGATTTGTATCCTCCAACGGAAAACAGGCGACACCGCTCAAAACCGGTCCGCCGCAACGCCGGCGCTAGCCGGCGCTCGCTCCTTTCCTCCTCGCTTTGGGTCGCCATGGCAACAGCAGGGAGTGGTGACAGGAAAGGGGACTCTCAGGTCTCCGCAATTTTTGACGTCAAGGCACCGGCGCCGATCGAGCGGGAACTTCGAATTCGGCATTTGGAAATTGTTTTTTTACTTCACGAATACTGAATTCCCAAATTTCAAATTTTGAGGGTAATGTCCCGGCATCGTTTTCGACCGTTTCGGATAATAAAAAAAAAAATGATTTTGATGTGTCAGTGCCCCTTTAAGAGGGCTGTGTTGTGTGTGAACGTTAGGTCCGGTGTCGTGTCGACCGTTACGCTGGTACCTATTCGTGTTTGCTGGAGGGGGTCGGTTACCAGGGTGATACGGTGTTGTTGCACTTGGGTCCATATATCCCGACCCTTGGGAGTGCATGTCCTGTAACCCCATGCCGTGTGGGAGGCATTGAAGTCTCCCACTATGACCAGGCCGTGAGGACCCGCCTCCCTTAGGGCACGGGAAAAGAGAACGGCAAATCTGTGTTTGCGAGCCGACGGGGGGCTGTATACGTTTAGTATATAGAGACGGGGGTCGCCTTTCCACTGCGGAAGGATTTTCAGGAAGACGTGCTCGACGTCAACTCCACCAAGGCTTTTGTATGAAGCGGTTAGATGTCTATGTGTGAGGATGGCGGTATTGGGTTCCTTATTACCAGGATTTTGGAAAGTTCTATAGCCGGCAAGTTTGACCGGGCCGCGGGTTTCCTGAATCGCTATGATATCGGAAGGTGTTTCGAGGGATTGTATGTAATGTTGGAGATTGCCACGTTTCCGTTGGAAGCTGCAGCAGTTCCATTGCCAGATAGTGGTTTGGTGTCTACTGAGGCGTGGCGGGGGGGGGGAGAGGTAAAGCCATACTCAGGGATGCACTGTTGGAGGTAGGGTGCGGATAGCGGGGGTGGTGGAGGATTGGAGGACCTCGCCTGGGATGATAGGTTGGTGAGTTGGTCCATTTGACCGGTGAGTTGGGCCAATTCGGAGGAGCGCTTTGAAACAATGCCTTCGATTGCCGTAAAACGGCTGTGAACGTTTTGCTCTAAGGTTTGCAGTCTGGCACTGAAAGTGCGAGACATTTCGGTCATTGACTCTGAGAGTCGGCGTAATTCGTCTACGATTTGGACGTCATTAGTATCGATTGCTCTACGCTTGGTAGGCTGGGCGGCGCTATCAGGCGAGGGTATGGCGACCACAACGGGTTGTGGGAGAGGGATAGGAGTGGGTGCTGGAGGGGTAACCTCTTTCTGTTTAATTAGGTTTCGTAATTCAGTATTTTCCTTCAGAACGGCAGTGATTAATTTCGTGAGGGTTTGGACCTCTCGCCGTAGAGCCGCGAGCTCGTTGTCTCTGGCATCACCACTCGTGGGGCCGGAGGCCACATTAGCCCAGCGCACCTGTTTGGGGGCCGCTGGTTGTCGGGGCGGCTCGTCGTGCGGGACCTGGCGCGGTTTGGACCTGGATCTGGATCGTGGTCGGGGTCTGGAGCGAGTACGGGACCGGGATCTGAATCCGGGCTCGGAGGGTACTGATTTGCGTTCCCTGGACCTGCCACGAGGGGGCGGTGGGGTTGAACTTTTGCTGAAATCGCCCACCGGGCGTTGTGCCTGACGGCGGCGAATGGCAGGGTGTTCTTGAAAGCGTTTCTTGCACCTCGGGAAACCCGTGGGGTGGGATCCTCGGCATACGGCGCATTTCACCTCACAGTCGTGGTCAGTGGGCGGATTGTCGATTCCGCAGCGTGGGCACTTATTGGCTCTCGGTGAGGGGCACACATCTGCCCTATGCCCGATCTTCCAGCAGATATTGCAGGCCTCAGTCTTGTGTTTGAAGAGTACGCAGAGGTAGGGGGCCCCGTGGTAGCTGACCCAGTGGGGCACCTCCGGGCTGTCGAAGACTATTAGCACGGAGTTAGTTTTTCCCATCCGGCGGGCAAGGAGAATAGCCAGGTCGTGATTGTAGTCGATTAGGTATCGGCTGATGTTGTCCGGTGTATCGTATTCTGGAACATCAAAGATGATTCCGCGTGAGGTGTTGGCAGGATCTGCCACGTATGTGGCCAGGGGATAGTTCTCCTCCCCGATGCATAAGGTGTGAAGGTTGAAGTACGTGCGCGCCCGCTCTACGGAGGGAGTGCTGATTAGTATAGAGTTTTGAGTAGCGTTGATTCGGATTTGGTCGGCGCATGCGGCGTCGTAGTTGGTCTGGGCAGCGTTGAAGATAAGGTCTTGCAGCTTGCCTGTGCTCATGGAGCTTAGGTTGAGGACACCACGTGAACGAATGACGATCTTGTAGTCGTCGTTAGGTAGTCTTGGGAGCTGCGGCGGGCGCGGTTTGGAGCCAGGCCTTGACGAGCTGCGGGAAGCCAGACGCTCGGCTGGGTTCGATGGCTTCGGTGAGGGTACTTTCGGCTGTCGAGCCTTCTTTCTGGCCGTATGGACTGGGATTCAGTCCGCATTGAGGTCCTCCGGGGCGACGACTTCTCCCTCGACGACGACCTCCATGTTGGGGCAAAGGGCTGGCAGATATTCGCCGCTCGTTGAACGAGACGCCGATCTCTCCGCGGACGTGCGGCGGCGGGCCGACGGATCGGGGCGGTGTTTACGCCAGGATCACGTTCTCCTCCGGGGTTCGCGGAGCCCGGAGAAGTCGACCGTTCTCGGTGGTGCCTGGAACGCGTCTCCCCTTCCTGAAGATGAGCTCTCTTCGTACTCGCTTCCCTCACACACTGTTCCTCCTCTTCTGCCTCTCGTTGGCTTGCTTCTCGACCTCTAGCATTTCCATGTAAACTTTATGAAACTTCACAGCTTGCGGCAAGTCTGCTGTCAAAAATTTTCGTGACATCAATGCCAAATCGTTTGAGGTAGCTCTTGACTTTGTGCATACCATCTTCAAATCGCTATCACGATCTGGCTGCTCGTATCTTGCTCCGTCATACGCCTTACTGCTCGCTCGCCTTTATTCCCAAGTTTTTTGCACGGGGCCGCGGGGCGGAACAATGAGAGCTGCGGGATTGCAATAGTGACAGGTTTGCACCACTATTCAGATCTTCAGCTGAAGTGACTCCAGGACTTCAGAAAAGCACGGTGAGCATGCAGCAACGGCAGCTAATGTTGGCGGCAGGTGTAGCAGCAGCAGCCTTCAGATACAGATCTTCGGATTCGGATCCACTGGCGTCCCATTTGGGCCGGAAGTTCCGGTGTTAACGTTGCCAACAGAAACTGCGAGACGGCTAATTTAGACGAGGCTCGTTTATAATTTCTGTTTGGGCGCAGGTTGGTGCAATTTTGTCCTGATTTATACTTTGGTATAAGTGTGAAGCATGAAAAGTTATTAGGCGCACAATGGCGCAATTGACGCAGCAGTTCCATCCCTGTTAAATATAAAAATATAAAAAAACGAAACAAAAAAGACAATATTGAGATATGCATTTTCGGTACGGCAAATGCCTAATCCGCCGATCAATCGTTCAACCAACTGCGCTACCCGAACACTTGCACGGGACGGGTGAGCACTGTAATATACAGCCACGTGAAACGTAAGTGCGACTAGCGCGATACCATTTCTTCTACTAAAGCCACGCTTAGCACAGACTCTTCTGACCGCAACACTACACGACGCAGAAAAAAGATGTAGACCTGTTCCTTTTCAACGATATTTCCATTTGGATCAACCCTTTTCCGGGAAGAACATGGCTTTCGAACGATCCCAGCCGTGTAGTTGACTGCTGCCATTCAAAACAACAACCAGGAATTAGCATCCCTTCCAGATTTGCGGCTAAATTGAGCGTATGCTTTCTCATCAACTGCTCCCGAAGCACTCGCTACTCTAGCGAACGACAACGTTGTGGCGGTGGACGTTCATCTGAAATTGGTAGGTCTCGCAGCAGATGACACTTTGAAAGCAGACGATAGCCGGTTCCTCCGGCTCTCGCATTTGGCGCAGTGACACAAATGCTCCCGCCGAGTGGTGTTTAATGCCTCGCTCCAACGCTCCTATTGGGTCGCATTGGCCGTAGCCTCCACAGTTCGCCAAGTTATCGTGAGACTGAGTATAAAGGCCCGTTCACACTCTTGCGACCGAGCTAGACCGAGAGAGACCAGACCGGTTTTTAAGCCTCTTGCGACTTCTTAGGACCAGCTCCGCTGCAACGGATCCGGTCCTAAGAAGTCGCAAAAGGCTTAAAAACCGGTCTGGTCTCTCTCGGTCGAAGTCGGTAGCAAGAGTGTAAACGGGCCTTAAAGGGGCCCTGCAATCATATTTAAGTGTCTACCTTTTTTGCGGTTTCCACGTCTCTTGGGGTTCAGGCAAGCTAGCGGGCACGGAGAGAGTAACTAAATATCAGTGCATCATATTTTCACCGGGCGACGCGAAAACCTCCTCCACCGACGAGGGTGACCCGTGGTACCGAAAGCGCGCGAAATGTGACGTCTTGGTCCTGGGCTTACTACTGGTTAGGGGTGTCGCGAACCGGCCGCGGTTCGAGTTCGACCAGGTTCGACTTTTTCGAACTTTTAGTGGAAAGTTCGACGAACCTTGCATCGAGGTTCGACTCGTGTGCGCATGCGCGTCAGGCTGGCTCGTTGGCTTCGGATTGGATGGTAATGGCTAAGAGATGAATTAAGTGCAGCGCTGATTGGCTATTTCAGTTAATACAGTACTAAAAATTAAGTTTTTAACTTCTTCAGTGATTAGATTCAGTTTCTTTTAATTGCAGCTGTTCACAAAATAAAATAACCCTTTGCATAAAAAAAAATTCTCCAAACCTAGACATGCTTGTATCAAGGGCTGGCCACACTGTCCACAAAATCGAACCGGTCGAATCTGGCGAAAAGTTCGAAGGTTCGTCGAACCGGTTCAACCCAGTCGAACCCCGAAAGTTCGACCAAAAAATCTGGTTTTACAAAAGTTCGCGACACCCCTACTACTGGTCAGAGCCGCAAGAAGCTTCTTTTTAGTCGAAATACAAAACATAAGTGGCACGAACCGTTTCAATTATTTATAAAAGTAGTTTTCGTTCAGTATTTTAGATCAGAAAAGAAACAAATGCAGTTTATAAAGTACGAAAACAAGAAATGACCCGTCGACATACCCGCCACCAAGCGATGGAAAAGGCGGCGCATACTAGAAAAGAGTAGTGGGATCAGGCGCCAACACGGAAAGATCCCGGATGTACGCAGCGGCGCTGCGGTCGTTTACGGATTGGAGGATCCGACCGGCTCCGAGCGTTCCGAAGGCCTTCAGCGAGTAGCTTTGTCTTGCGTTTTGGCCATTTCGCGGTACGGCAGCGTGAAGTGGGCTCCCATTCTGAACTGGTCTTTACCCCGTGTTTGCTGTCGTTGGTGGCCAATGAAATGTCATGCTGAATTAGTGTTTAATCGCGCAGCAAATGCAATGAGAGCCGCTCTGGCTGCCCGCGGTATACAGCCTATCCAGAACACGCTTTAGTGGCGCCCTCTCGCGCCGTCGACACGCAGCGCGGTAGTCGTGAGCGCTCGCTGAGCCGACTATCCCTCCTCTAGTTCACGGCCACTCAAGCAACCAAGGACGTCATGAGAGAAATTATTTTTTGCTTGTTTTTGTAATTTTAATTTGCCTATAACTTTTAAAATAAAGCGAAATTCGAGAAAAAAAAAGTTACATTACGTTACTACGGTCAGTGCGCTCAGGTTCGGTGCAAATTAAAAACCAGTAAAAAAGTGCTTGCAGGGCCCCTTTAAGCAGTCTTCATCTGCATTATCAAATAGCTGACTTACTAAATAATCACGCAAATATAGTTTAAATGGTACACAACTGTAGCAATCTCCAGATGTTTAAGAAAATGATCAAATTGTATTTCCTTTCAATCGAATAATATGCACCTGCTACTTGTGCCATTAGTTCAAATATGAAAATGTGATCAATTATATTATATGTAACAGTGTTTGTTCTTTTTTACTCAACTTTGTGACTCTTCAAATGTTTTCATCTGTGGACTTATTTTGATGTGAATTAGGCAATTGATGTTAATTTTTTTTTCGGTATCCTTAGAGGTATGTGCCGAGTGTTGTAATGGGGGCTGGTGGCCACGTCAGAGGACTTCGCGTCTTCTTTTGCCGCAACCGCCCAGACATATGCATGTCGAAATAAACTTATTAATATTATTATATCTGAAGCAGAAATTTCTCGCATGCTCACGGTACGGATATCACTCAACCTTGATCAAGCGCACCAGTGACCAATAGGGGAACCACTAGTTTTCGCAATAGGCTGGTGAGAGTTGTTACCTATGATACTACCGAATGAATGGATGGTAGTGCAAGCTACCACCTTTTGTATCGGGTGGTAGCTTGTGCCACCTATCCTAGGAACTTCACACATTGCCAGAGCAGAGTCGCACAACACTTTAAGCCGATCCACAGGCAAGTACTAAACTTACTCGCCCCGTGCCACTTCCATGATGCTCGACTCAAGCAAGGAACCAAGTGCGGCTTTTTCAAGTTTCGTTCTAAAGAGAAGGGAAACGCCATGAACCGAAACCAGGAACGAGGTCACCAATAACCACACTTTTAAGGCCAGATTAGCGAGAATTTTCTTATGCCCTGACAACCTAGCTAAGAAGTTATTAAGTCGCACGTATCGTAAGCTATGAAACACTTGAGTTGTGGTCATATTGCTCATACATCATTCAAAAGACACGACGACAGAATTATCTGATGCACCGCCTTTAACATGTTCGAAGAGTGTTTCTGTTTCACACATATGCATGCTTCGAACATGTTTGCACACAGCTTTTGTACGACCAATGTGACAAGACACAAGGAAGAAACATGGTCTCTAATGCCCGAAGTTCTATTTCGATCACATACTCTGGAAAAAAAAAGTTTGTGTTCTCAAGGCTCCATCGCGCGATTTTAATAAACTGTCGCACCGATGACGAGCTTAGGAATATCGCGAAACTCACTTCCCTAGAGAGAGCAAAACAACCACCGTTGTGTACCCGTACATGCAGGACTCGTTTGTGGAATGGCAACCATCTGCGCGCAGCGGGAGATGCTCATTCCCGATCTCCCCGTTACCAAACAGCCCAATCAGGGGCACCCCCGGAAACACCCTCGCAAACGCGTCTGCCTCCACGTTCGGCCTGCCGTGGTGCCCGGCGCCCCTTGCCACACAGGCAAATGCAAACCCCAGCGTCTGTTCCGCACCCCAGCTCCCGAACCCGCTGTCCACCTTCAGCCGCCGGAGCTCCTTCTCCACCGCCTGTGCGCCCCGAACCTCCGGCGAAAGCACGACCGACGCCGACCGAACCCCGTCGCCCGAGAAGCAGAGTCCGGCGCAGACGACGCGATCCGCCTGCGCCGCAGCGAGGGAGTCAAGCACGGCGCCGCCGAGCGCGAAGCGGTGAGGCCCGCAGCTGGCCACGAAGTCGTCCACCATCTCGGCGGCAACGTCGTTCTCGCCTTCGTCCAGGTCGCTGCCGATGAACCAGAGCACACACTTGACGTCGCGTGTTGCGTCGCCCACCGGCAGTCCCGCCAGGGTCTTGAACTCGTCGGTGGCGTACCAGTCGTCGCCGCGACTCTGCTTCCGGACGTGGGCTTGGGTGACCGCAAAGGGCCGGACTCGCGTTCCGTCCGGGAGCACGGAGGGCAGTAGTAGTCCGGAGAGGCCCTGGCACCGCTCCAGCTCCGTTGGGTTGCCGTCGCCGGGGGTGCCCACAACGCCCGAAGCGTGCCCCAGGAGGAGGTGGCAGGCGGAAGGGAGGTGCGAGCCGATGACTCTCGCAGCTGCATGAGAGAGAGCGGTTTTCGGGTGCAGCTCTAGAGACCGGTTTGCGCGTGCCGCACAAAGTCGGCGCTGCGTCGGCACTCAGCATTGCGTTGCGAGTGTAAACTCGAAAAGGCTGGGTCACACGCAACAGCTCACCGATGCGCTGGTGATATGGCGCAAAGCTAGTGCTGTGCCTATACACCTTTCCAAAAAACGCTCCCAGGCTGCCGCCATGTTGCTGATGCTGATGCGGCTGGTGCAACTCTCGTGCCCTCTATCAGCTAGAAATTTTTTACCACTTTCTTGGACTGTGAAGACCCGCTCAGCGCAGTTCTCAACCTACGTTTTTCCGGTTTTGCATTCAGCGTTTTCTCGCCCCTTTTGAAAGCTTTCACTTAATTTTTTTTATGCGTGCTGCATACCCTTTTTGTGTTATCTTCCATCGTGAGAAATAAGGCTGGTAAGTGCCTGCCATTCAAGCTTTTCTGAGATAATCCGCGTAGAATCCTCAGTCATCTCCAAAAATAGTTGTCGGGGTTGGGGTGGGAAACGGGTCAGTCGCGTTCGTTCCTTTGCCTTGGTGCTGTTGTGAAAAAAGGAAGCTCTCCCCAAAAAGTGCCCCAAAACGAAGTCCGCTTGAATTCCGTCCGATCGTCAAAATATGATTGTCGTCGACTGCGACTGTGTTATTTAAGATTTTTCTCAAATGAATTTTTTTCAGATAACGTTGCATCGTGTGGTACATACAATATATTGTTCGAATGCTAACACTTTCTAAATTGTATGTCCGTGTCCTGCCCATCGGTAAACACGTTATTTGTAAGCGTGAAAAATGCATGCCTTTCGGCTCTCTTCTGTTGCAATTTATTTTTGACAGCTAAGCACTTTGTCGTTTGACAAGCGGCAAATCGCCTGGCGCCGTCAAAACTTATCGTAAAAAACAAACACACTAAAAACTAGAACTATACATTCCAGTCGCACTCGTTCTGTTGTGCGCGTACCCCGCAAAAGTAGTTTATAGGTTTTTTATTGCTTTTTTTCTTTTTTTTCAAATGTGGTACAATGCTTTCTCACTGACCTCGGGAAAATACATGCACCAAGGAACACAAAATACAGCGGGAAAAGACGAGAATTTAGCCGCCAGCAGTGTTTGAAACTGCGCCTATCAAAATCGCAGTCCACTCGGTTAGGGTTACCAGGGACGCGGGGTGAGAATCTAGCCTCGAACCCAGGTACCGGGCTCAAAAACGGTTTGCTGCCCCTGGGGTCGAGTGTTTCTTGGAAAGGTCTATAGCACCGAGTTGAAGGTACACTGACGGGGATTTATGCTCGCCAAGGTTATTACTTGTACATGACATATAAGAGCCCTAATACCCAAACACACTTTGCGGCTCAAAATTCGTTTCGATTCCACCCGAAAACAGCCGGTCGAGAACTGGCAGGTTTAGTCACGCTAACTCTCTTCTTCATGGTCCCGTGCCGTTTTCTATTGTTTAGAAGGCACATACTCAATATTAAAAATAGAAAGAAATGATACCCATTTTTTGTTGCTTCTAAAAAGCTGCAAATACACTGAGTGAAAAAAAAAAAGAAAAAAGAAGTTGCACAGAGAATTGGAAGCACTCTATGCATTCTTTGCCTAATTCTCAACACGCATCGTATCGCGGGAGTCGCGGGCTGGACGAAGCGGACAAAGCGATGGCGGCGGATGACGGGCGTTGGACTTCTACTTCAGAAGTGTTGTTCGTGGTACCGGCGAATCTATCTAGCCCGGAGCGAGAGATCATTTACCAATCAAAACAATTAAGATTCATTCCGTACGACATGTCGACCACCAAGCTGATTCTCACGAAGACGCTGCCGAGTCGTCACCCCTTCTGTTTGAAGACATTGCTCACCTTACAAACACGAATTGTTAAGAGCTTGAAAAAGCACGAACGTCAAGCAGGAAGTGCTTGATCTTTCCGTTTTTCGTGTGATGTGCAAATTTTTCATTTGTTTCACACGGTTAAAAAAAAATGTGGTCGGGTGTAGCTTTGCGAGTTTTGGCAACTCTTTCCTCCCCTACATCTCTTCTCCCACCTCAGCCCAGTTTCGGTTTTGGTTTTGAGGAGTTGCGTTTTTGACTTTATCAAAAATATACGAGATGCTGTAGCAAAATATTGATTGGGTGGTCTTTCCACACCATATTAAATCGCCTGAACAAAAAATAAAAATAAATATTTTAGGGGGTGTCAGTGTCCCCTAAGGATGGTCCACACATTTGCATTTCATTTTGCTTGAGTGCATAGCTTCATATGACACCTTGAGCAATGTGTGCACGGCGTCCATGATTGTTCTTCTGTGTGAGCCCTCAAGGCCGCTGCAGGAAAATTTGTTTTAGTAGTCAGCAGAGTGTGGGTTGTGCTTTCACACTAGCCGAGCACGCTAATGTTTCTTACATGGTGCCACTCACTTGCTTTGGCTACACGAGGCTTGCCAATACTGGCGCTTAAATTGAAGTGTGATTCGACGGTTGCTGCTTCCACTCTCTCGCTTCAAATGCGAGGCAAAAAAGTTTGTGACATCGCAACTTCTGCTCCAAGGAAAAGCTGAAATACAGTCAAACCCGTTTATATTGAACTCACAAAAAAACGTTTACCAGTTCGATATAGCGGGTAATTCGTTATAAAGGTTTTAATGAATTCGATTCTCAAAAATCCACTTTATGCTGACATATTACACAATAAAATAGTCTTGCATCTTCTGCAGCTTTTTCTTCATTGCATCCGTGATATCAATATTCTTCTACGCTATCGACAGACTCCAAAAGGCTGAGGCTGCTGCCTTCTATATTTGCGCATTAGCGCCGAACTATGTTGAGAGCACGGAGCACGTCCGAGCAGGAGCACCTTCTCCTGCAGAGCACCGTTTTGCTTTGCAAGTTGGCTTTCCCCTAAGGAGGGCGGCTGCATCGGAGGAAAGCCAGCCAGCAGAGCAAGCTGGCTTTTTTTTCTTCCAGGCGGCAGCGTGAACTGCCTGGAACAAAAGAACGGTCTACGAACATTCTCTATTAGGGAGTTTTAGTAGACCGTTTCCGCAGCCCGCTAAGCATCTGCATAGTGCTCCGTAATCCGCCACAAGACTTTGAACTATGTAGACAAGGCTGGCGGTGCGCATGTGCAGCTGCGGCGTTTTCTTTACGGATACTGCAGCGTAGGAGAAAGACGATCTACTAAAACTCCCTATTCTCTTTTGCGGATGGAGCGGGGAGAGGGAGCACGGAGCCAACAACTCCTAGAAATTAGGCCACAGCACTCTTCCTGTGACGTCGCAATGGAAGGCCATCGGGGGCGCACGTCGAAGCGAAGGCAACGCGCGTGGACCTACCGTCGTAGCGTGCTTTTAGTCACATACGCGTGTCTTATTAGCGAAAATGAAAGCTGCACATAGCAACGGGTCTAGAAAACATGATTACACGGGCAAAATATTACAGCGCTAAATAATCGGTACGAAATGGCACGAGGTATGTGTATAAGACGTCTATAGAAAAATACGATTGTTCTAGGTCGAAAACATTGAGTCTGCAATTACTGCTGTAGGAATGCACATTTTAAACAGAAATACTTTGACAAAATGGCGAGGCACGCAGTGATTGGACACAGCAAAACAGATCACAGTTAAAAATCAGGTAGACGCAGTCAACGCGGACACGGCTAGACAAGTGCCACGATCATGTAAGTTATGTTATCGTGTGCAGTCACTGAATTTTTGCATTATACCCTGACCACATGGCAAAATTAATGTAATTTCGATTGAACGACATTATGACGTCGACAAATCAGCTTGTGACGCTCGTATAATCACTCAAGACCGCGAGCTCATTCAATCTCATATCATTTAATGAAAATATATTAAAGGGCAACTCCGCTCAATTCCGAAAAATTTAGGCTTCCATGTGATTCACATTCACAAAGCACTACTAAACAACTCTACGTCTTCGGATTCGCGAAATGTGGAATATTATTTGTGTAATCCTAATTTAAACATCAGCAGATACCGAAACCGAAACTTCGGTTGCGTCAGGCAACGTTGGTCTCGGGTCGTCAGAGTCATGGCACGTCACGTCGAACTACGTGGTCTTGTGACGTTCGGGAGGGAGCAAAAAACCAAGCGAGGTCTTCTTTTTTTTTTTTTTTTTTTTATTGGACGCGGGCAGGTTGCTTTGCATAACGTGGACAATGATGGACCGGGGGCGAGAGGGAAGGGGAGAAGACGAAAGAAAAGAAAAGGAGCGGAGACGCGCGCAGGGCAGCGCATCCCAGGCGCATCTGTGTTACGGTGATCACGTGGACGCCGTACAGCCAACACTGGGAGGAGAAACTCATGACGTCATCGTTCAATTTCGCTCTGAGAAGTAAAAACAAACAAAACGTGAGGATGACGTACACATGCCTCTGACGTAGTGGCTCAACGTTGGCCGCTCCATCTCCGTGGCATTGACTGCGCTGGTGATTGCGCCTCGCGCCGCACGCTAGAGTTGGCAGATTTCGGCGACTTGGCTCGCTTGAAGGTTTGCCGGCCAGTTTATTAAATATATAAACGGAATTAGATCGTAATATTTGACAGGGGGTCTTCCTATGTGATACTGAAGAGGGCTACATAGTTTTCTAAATGTCAAAAATGAAGCGGAGTTGCCCTTAAAGGTGAAACCCCACCCTCACTTAGTGTGACTCTAGAACAAGAGATGGCACTCGCATCTTCATCCAGACCTATATATGAGCAGATAAAGTTGTGTATGATGGCGCCTCAATAGAGTGTGCATTTTGCCTTCTCTTTGATTTCGTCATCCATGGTCATTGTTTAGTTTCTCCAAACTTGATGTTTCTACGAAGTGCGATCTGGTTTGTTTGCGGTGTTATGCAGATGGACGATCTGATAACCGACGGCACCGTGCGCCCAAGAGCGTCGCTTTTTGTTTTTCATACTTTTTGTGTTCTCGTATTTACTTCCCTTTTTATGCTTCTATCATCATCTT